CTGTATGTGGGACACAAAAATGCAGAAAAATGGTGCAGCGTTTCTGGGATAGTGTTCCGCTAGAGAACCCACTGGCAAAATTCCAGCATCAAAGTCTGCTTAGATGCTGAATTGAAATTCCCGAACAGCCGCACACACACGCGCAAACGTACACACACATCATGGGCCATAATATTTGTTTTTGCACCTGCATATAAGCAAAAACGCATAATGAATGAACAGAAATTCGCAAGCGATGCACCACGCTCTCCCCAAATGACACTCACAACCACAACCAAGAATTTCAATAAGATTTTCACAGTAAAATTAGCGAAAAAAAAAAGCATTTTCTCAGTTCAAAATTAAATCCGGCTGGATACTTCCTCTGAACGATTTCAAAGCCTTTCAATTCTGGAAGTTCCTGATGTACCCTAATTGCAGCACGAAAAGTAAAACAATATTTCAAGATGTCAGATGTTAAGTGCAAGCAAGTAAGCCGTGAAATGCTTGCTGCATAAACACAGAAAGAAACTATGAAGGATACCGTACCCATAATCCTTATTGCTCGGATGATGCGTTGCCAGGATATTCATTTCATCGAAATGAGCCCGATCTTCGGCAAGGCGTCTACTTTCGTCGCCAGACGGCTGCTATACATTGATTTATGAATGTCACACATAACTTGCAATTTTATCACACTGGTAAAAAGCGGCCTTGCGGCTCTAATTAATTATTTGCTCCTAGTTTAAAAAGTAGAAAATCCATCAGAACTTCCTCCCTCCTTTTTTCACATACAATAATCTCCTTTTCCACGTGCTCACCCTCTTCGACTTCTACACATAATATCATCGAGGATGTAGTAATACCAGGTGTCAAACCGCTGCAGTTCAATATAATCGAGATGCATTCAAGTAAATCTATGTAATCCCCGTGCTGTTATTCGCCGTCTCTATTATATGAGTGCAGCGCTACTTCGAAAATCATCCAGATGGTTCGCATCCTCCCTTGTAGGATTGACTGTCAAGGAAACGAAAGTGTTTCTTGCTGCACCTTTCTCCCCGCCTACCACCACTAGAAGATTTTATTTGCTCGCATGTTCTGAAAAGTATTCCACACCATTTTCATTATCATCGAGCTTTTTATTTTTATGCGTTTTTTGCATCTATACGCAAATTGTAGAAGGTGTGTGTGTCTATACCGATTTTTCATCTCAAGACCTACACCCAGGCTGGAACGCACCAGGTGAGCCAATGCGATCATGCGTATTTGCACCACGCTGTAGCAAAATCGCAAGTTCAGGAAGATAACTGTGCAGCTAGGTGGCATGTCAGTTGCAGATGTCGGCTTCAGTGATCCGATAAATGAAAAGTTCCTGGTGCGCGAAAAAAGCCCCACTAGAAGAGCTGAATTTGAAACCTTATCGTCGCACATGAGTAGGGAATAATCCCTTTAAAATTAAAGCCCTCCAGCTTTCCTCGTCCGAGAGTTAGAAACCTTCCCGCCAAAGCTAAACAACTGAAAGTCTTGAGCGGTTCTAAGCAGCTGAATTTGAACTCTTTTGGTCGTACATGAGTATCGAACATCTCCCTAAAGTTTCAACTTCCTAACTACTCTCGTCCCCGAGTTAGCAATTTTCCCGCCAAATCCGTGAGGTTCAAACGTGTGTGATAGTTGATATCAAGTTCCCGGGGTCGCACTTGGTCAGGGAACATACTGGCAAAATTTCAATATCAAT